CCCATTGTCTAGCGGCACCTTGTTCTCTCCCTCCGCCTCGTCGCGGAAGAAGCCCCACTCGCCGCCCCACTCCTCACCCTCGAGGTACTCGGCACGCATCGAGCCGTTGGGCCAGCGCCGCGCGTACTCCTCGCACGACAGGCCGAGCAGCGGCAGGTCGCGGCCGGCATCCTCCACGATGAAGGGCTGGCCGAGCGCCGCCAGCTCCGCGAACCGCTCCGCCGTGATGTCCGACTCGCGTGCCAGCGGCGCAAATGGTGCGCGGCGCGGCGGTGCCTCCTCGGCGGGCGCCGTCGCCTGCGCCGCTTCGTCGTCTGGGACAGAGCCCCACCCGGCGAGCGCCGGGAAGAAGTCTGCCACCTGCGGCTCCCACAGAGGGCTGCGGGCTCGAGGCAGCCACCGCGCGCCGGTGCTGCAGTCGCCCCAGTCCAGCCCGACGGCAGCGCCGCCGCCGTCGCGAATGGCGGCGGCGAGCGCAATCGCGACGGCGGCGGCAGCGGCGGCGGCGGCGGCGGCGGCAGCAGAGTCGGTCCTGCGCATATATATACAAGTACTAGTGTGGGACCTGCGGCGGTACCCGTCTCTGTTGTTCGGGCAGTGAGAGACGCAGGATCTGCACGCCAAAGTGGCGCCACTCCGCATTTGCATTTTGGTTTTGGGTTGTCGGAGATCATCCATCAGCACTCATGTCTCATCAGTCAGTCACGTCAGTCAAAGCAGCCGTGGCACTCATCAGTCAGTCACGGCAGTCAAAGCAGTCGTGGCACGTGGAGCAGTCGCTGCATGCAACGGCGCCGCCACACGCTCCGGACGACCCCGACACACACCGACACACCACGCACAATGGGAGGCTATCGCGCACGATCGGGCATCGCGCCGCAAATTGGCCTAAGCACAATATTCTCGAATATCTCCGAGAATATAGATGGTCCCGCGCACTTTCGTATTCGAGAATATTCTCGAGAATATAGATGCCCCGGCGCGGCTTTTTCTCAAGAATCTATGAGTTTTCTTCAGCCCTTGACCTTGGTTGACCTCGAGTCTCAAGATATTCTTGAATATTCTCGCCGTTACATCGCGGCGTCTAGAACGGTCTTGACTAGAGCTTCTCGAAACAGCTCTTTTGCCCCCTCAAAAGTAGGTTTTGGGTCGATGCAGACGGAAATCTTTAAGTTTTGGACGTTCCTGAGCGGTTTGGGAGCACAAACCTCTACTTTAGAGCGATTTTTGGCGTCCGCTGACCTCTCGCGTGGTGAAAATATTCTCAATATTCGAGAATATTCTCGAGAATATAGATGGTCTGGCGAGAATATAAGCAAAAGAATATAGATAGTACTTGGCGAGAAAAACGTGCTTAGGCTAAGCCGCAAACAACTCGCCGCACAGATGGGGGGGGGGGGGGGGGCAAAATCCCCCACACCCCGGAGCAGCACAAACACCTTACACGTCAGCGCTCGCTCGATGGGGCCGGGGCTCTCCCCTCGGGCCTATCTCGCCTTTTCAACGGGGGGGGGGGGCCACCCCCCGCGCCAAGCCGGTCTCG